CTGCTGGGTGATGCGGTACGGTGGGGCACCAAAGTCCGGAGAATCGGGCAGGGTCGGCCGGCGAGCGACAAGTCACCACCGATGGACCCTGGTTGTCTGATGAGCGACGGTGTTGGGCTAAGGTGGGGCTCACCCGATGAAAGGGCCGCAGATGAAGGGCGCCAAGGGCAGGCGAAACGCTCACGGCCGCCCGAGTCAGGAGTTCGATGTTGAAAGACTGAACAGGTACGCAAAGAACAACGGGGCCTCAGCGCCCGAGTGAACTGGAGGGTAGTGAGGACCGAGAGATAGGGACGTGAGAAGGGTGAGTGGCGAGGACCGAGCAATAGGGAGGGAGAAGGGTAAGTAACGAGGACCGAGCAATAGGGATGGGAGAAGGGTAAATAGCGAGGACCGAGCAATAGGGATGGGAGAAGGGTGAGTAGCGAGGACCGAGCCATAGGGACGGGAGAAGGTGTAAGTAGCGAGGGCCGAGCAATAGGGAGAGGAAAGGGTAAGTAGCGAGGACCGAAGCGGTAGAGAAGGGAGAATCGTGTGAAACCCGGCGTGTAGGAAGTTCAACAGCTTGAACTCACGGTCGTTCCGTGACGTCCCTGGACGACAATCAGCTGACCTGTTCAGCAGAAAGCCGCACAACACACCCGTGCCAAAACAGCTGAGCGACGTGTTCGATATCCATCATAACTGATTGCATTGCCTTAAAACGTGCCCCAGAAATTCAGAAAGCAATCAAGGAAATTCTGGCCTCATTGTCCTCAAGAGTTGCCAGACAACAACTCTCTGGCGAAGAGCACTGCAGGTCGCGAAGACATCACGTGTCGCAACGGCCCGAGTTGTCGGGCGATCGTGTGCCAGTACAGGCTAGACATCAGACAATCGACTAGCGCATCGCAAGCAATGGCTTTGACCGCTAACCCCGAGGCGGGTCGTACTGATCCTTTCAGTCCGTCAGGACGGGGGTCACTGCGACAATTTGGGTCCCGCTGAAAGTCAATCTTCTCGAACGACACGGCACAGCCGTCCGCGCCGCGCCAAAATAGCCGCCCTAACGCCTGGTCCGGCACGTTCTGGAGCCGATACGCTATCTGTCGATCCGTCCACTCGATCCGAGACGGGATTTCCGGCGGGACATTTATTCTGGGCGCCGCGTCTCAAGTCACGTCTGTGACTGTGACGATGACACTTGAGGCACGCCCGCGCGGCGGTCGTGGCCCGCCACAGCCCCGGGTCACGCCCGTCACCTCCTCAGCGGCCTCCTCAAGGACCGACTGCGACAGGGTACGGCGCAGAACCTCGGCGGGAAGCGGCGGCCTCAAGATCGACGTCTCCACTGACTGAGACTCAACTGATGTCGGTAGGTCATCGTAGGTCATCGGTCGATAGGTCATGGTGGATGGTGGTAGGTCAGGAGGCCTCGAGCCGATGGTCAGACTGAGGGAGGCAAAAGAAAAAGAAGTGCAAACAGCTCGGAGCTTCCACATGAGGTCAACACGGCCAAGGACCAGATGCATTATCGATAACACTTTATGCTACTTTCTAATGCTTTGCAGCCGTAATTCCCAGACCCCACGCGCTAAACCAAAGTCAGACAATCCTAGCAGGAGCTATTCTGGGACGGTTCGTCGACAGAAGGCCAACGGGTGACGTCAAACAGCCACGGGCTAAGCACACATGACGTCACGGTCAAGCCAACCGCCCAATCACCATGCATCGCCATTGGCGAATGACATCAGACCATCCGATAAGAATCAATTGCGTCAAAACAAACGACGTCACATACAGGTCCCGCTCGTCTCGCCGCGGCAACGTTAATGTCAACCAGTGGCAGGAAATACCGCAAAGGCTTGCTGAAGGGGCGGGGCGGTCGGGGATGCGGCATTGGAAGTGAGGATAAGGATGAAAACACGAATGCCAGTCCCGCGTGAATCTGTGCCTGGCACCGAGGATAAAGTGACTGGGGCAGCACCAACCGAGGATAAAGTGGACCTGGGGCAGCACACCGAGGATAAAGTGACCGGGGGCAGCACACCGAGGATAATAAAGTGACCTGGGGCAGCACACCGAGGATAAGTGACCTGGGGCAGCACACCGAGGATAAAGTGACCGGGCAGCACACCGAGGATAAGTGACCTGGGGCAGCACACGAGGAAAGTGACCTGGGGCAGCACACCGAGGATAAAGTGACCTGGGGCAGCACCCGAGGATAAAGTGACCTGGGCAGCACACCGAGGATAAAGTGACCTGGGGCAGCACACACCGAGGATAAAGTGACCTGGGCAGCACCCGAGGATAAAGTGACCTGGGGCAGCACACCGAGGAAAAGTGACCTGGGGCAGCACACCGAGGATAAAGTGACCTGGGGCAGCACACCGAGGATAAAGTGACCTGGGGCAGCACACCGAGGATAAAGGACCTGGGGCAGACACCGAGGATAAGTGACCTGGGGCAGCACGAATGGAATGAGGTCGTGACCACCCGATTATGGAAACGGCGCGTCTTCGGGTTGCGCTGGAATTGTAGCTGTCGCATCTTGCAAAGTCCCATGTGCTTAAACGTAGCTTGCAGTGGTGATGCAAGTGTCAGCTCCGTTCTCACCCAAGCCTCAGCCGGCTCCGGTCCCAGTCTCGGTCTCAGTACAGTGTGCCGCAGTTTAGTCGTAACTTTTTGTCATAACGCCCAAGCCTCAGCCGGCTTCGGTCCCAGTCTCGGTCTCAGTACAGTGTGCCGCAGTCTTGGCGTAGCGCCAGACTAGACCCCATCGCCAGACCCCAACACCAGACCAGACCTCATCATCAGACCGCAACACCAGACCAGACGCCATCGCAGGCACAGCATCAATCCTAGTCCGGTACAGAAAATCCGTTCCACCCCGGTTACAAACTTACATCGCAGCTCACAGGGTGTTGTTTCCTATTCAGTTGAGGCGCTCCAGTCCTCCCCCTCAAAACTTGAGAAGAAAGTGGGTGAAATCTGGGGAGCATATGTTGACTATTTGGGGGGGGGGGGGGGGTACGTTCAGCCATTGTTCACTGCTCAGCTCCCTCCCACCCGAAATCATTTTGGAACCTACTCATTTTGCGAACTTGTGGATAGACACACGATCAATCTCCCTGACGAAAGACATCGTTCCTCTTTCCGTTGCCTTCTTGCTGTTTTCTGGTGCTTTCCAGTGCTTTGTGACGACCATGTGGCGACCTGGGTCCGGCGTCGCAGGAGGCGATCGAGCACTGTGGTGGCCATGACACTTCTAGGGGCGGCCCAGGGGTGCTGGTGGACCGGCAGCACCCGGTACGAGGGTGGCGTGTTGAGACTGACCTGCTGCCGGGCACGGAGGTGGCGTGTCGATGCAGACAGCTCTCCTGCAGACTCTGCGTGATGGCGTGGGAGAGAAGCCACGCGTCGATCATCTGACGGGTGGCCTTCCTGCGGCACACGGGACCGGGGCGTGGCGTCAGCAGCGCCGCGCCCTGACAGAACAGCATCGGGCCCTGACAGAGCAGCACAGGACCCTGACAGAGCAGCACCGGGCCCTGACAGAACAGCACAGGGCCCTGACAGAACAGCGCCAGCCCTGACAGAACAGCACCAGCCCTGACAGAACGACACCGGGCCCTGACAGAAGAGCACCAGCCCTGACAGAAGAGCACTTTGCCCTGACAGAAGGCGGCGTAGAGCAGCAGAGAAGGCGTTGGCACGACGAAGAACCGGAACAGCACACAGCAGGTCCGACCGACATCCGACATAGCGCTATCGTCGTCACAGCAGCGGACATAGAACAGTCAACCGAAACAAAGCACACACAGCAGGGTCAACCGACATCCGACATAGCGCTATCGTCGTCACAGCAGCGGACATAGAATCAGTCAACCGAAACAGCACACAGCAGGGTCCGACCGACATCCGACATAGCGCTATCGTCGTCACAGCAGCGGACATAGAACAGTCAACCGAAACAGCACACAGCAGGGTCCGACCGACATCCGACATAGCGCTATCGTCGTCACAGCAGCGGACATAAACAGTCAACCGAAACAGCACACAGCAGGGTCCGACCGACATCCGACAGCTAGCGCTTATCGTCGTCACAGCAGCGGACATAGAACAGTCAACCGAAACAGCACACAGCAGGGTCCGACCGACATCCGACATAGCGCTATCGTCGTCACAGCAGCGGATCATAGAACAGTCAACCGAACAGCACCTCACAGCAGCTGAAACAGCAGGAGCTAGCCGACGCAGTCTCTCCAACACCAGCTGAATCTAAAAAATTACAGACAGAGCACGGAACCCGGGACCAGCCAACGGCGGTGGCACAACGGTCCGCACCGCGAGCTCGCAGAAGGCCCGGCTGACGACAGCGACCATGGTAGCGCGGCGGCCGCCGGTGACTTCCGTTTGTCGTTGCAGGTAACTGCTGCATATTCAGAGTACCAATCGCCTGTCAGTCACTGAGGCTTCGGTCAACAAGGTCACCCTGCACCGGCCGGTGGTCAGTCACTGCGACGAAGTGAGCAAGGTCACCCTCCACAGGCTCGCGATTAGTCACTGCGACGAGGCGACCAATTGCCTGCACAGGCCCGCGTTCAGTCACTGCGACGCTAGTGAACAAGGTTACCCTGCACCGGCCGGTGGTCAGTCACTGCGACGAAGTGAGCAAGGTCACCCTCCGCAGGCTCGCGATTAGTCACTGCGACGAAGTGACCAAGTGCTCCCTGCACAGGACGCGGTTAGTCGCTGCGGCGTCAGTGAACAAGAGCAGAGCTTCATAAAACGGCAACATGACTCAGGGCATTTTCTTTTTGAGTCGCATGGACTCGGAGACAAAAAACCTCAGCCAGACAGACACGTCCAATTTTTCAACATCAGCCTCGACAGCTCCCACAATCGGCACGAACAGAGCAGAACCGTTCTGCTTACGTTCTGCTACTTAAGCTTATGAACAGCCCGGCCGCAAGCCTACACGACGTAATTCAGACACGCGTATGGTCGTGTTTCGCTTTGCGAGTCAGTCCCCAACGGCCCTAGTCCGTTACTAATGCGTCATCGCATTAACGATGCGCCATCGCAGCTGCGCAGAGGCTGGTGGCGGTCCATGGCTGCATAACAAATTGATGGGCATGGTGGCGCACCTCTTTGAACAGACTCGTTCTCTCATGTCGTATCCGTCCTGCACATGGTTGGCATGGATGGAAAATCACCTTCCCTCACATGATCTACGTTACGAAACGATTGGCATTCCCTTGGTTTTCTGTGACGACGGAAGGACAATGAATCGTTGGAAACGCAAGGCTAAGTGGACATTACAGACGCTCACGTGATAAACACAGCACAGCCATTTTTGGGCGCGCTGCCATTGGTCAGTCTGCGTCACGCCACACCCGAGCTGCGGTTCTATTGGAACAATAGGACGGACGCTGGACCCAGCGAACCAAGCAATCTGTTGCATGACTGTCGCATCAGATAGTATATGTTTTCCTGCTGCCATTCATTACGGGCGATGGAATGATGACCTGGCACTGAGCATGCACTGGAGACGGCTTCCTTCCGATTAAGCAACGGTTCAGTATTCTTAGGAATCATTCTCAGTGAAAAGTCTACGCGGTATGCATGAAGTGCGCCAATTTTGTAGCAGAGGTTCGGCGCTGGCCGCTACAGCGGCGCACGGCTCTGTACTGCTACAGCTGTCGCTAGGGGGACCCCAACCTCAGCGACAGGTGGGCAGGTCACCGAGCGAACATTCTATGCGATCGGTTAAGTAACCCACCAACACATCGGCGTCAAACTGCGTCATGTGAAAGCACATCGAAGGACGCAACAACATCAGCAGACACTGAATCTCCCTCGGAGGGGAGGGGGATGGGCCTTACGACGCACTCAGCTGCCGATGTGGTCTGACCCAAATCTCCCCTCCAACGTGATCTCACCCTCTAGCAAAAGTTTCGTACATGTCGTCAATCAAGCGCCCATCAATCAAGCGCGTTGCTTGCGGACTCCACCAATTGAAACTACCATTGATCTGCACAGCCAACTCACGCTGCAGGCATGGCAGATGTAACGATGGCACGTACGCATGAGATCGCAAACGTGCCCGCAAACGACCATTTTTCAAACCAATATCAAATATTGGTCGTGAGAGGCTAATCCATTATAGAGATATGCTTCGTTGGGGGAAACTGAAAGCCGCAATATTGAAAGGCCTGGCATGCTGTCGAGATGTCAAGTCCCGTGCCAGGCTAAATTCATTGCCCGAACCCCAGCTCTCGCAACGTCCAAGTGGTTTAGTTCAAGCATGCCTTTGAAAGTTGAGACTCAAATTACCGGACGGCGCAACGCTTCCGCAGGGCACTGACCCGATCCTCTGCCGCCTCGTGCGCGCGGATGACCTTTCTGTGAGAACTGCCCTGCCACCGTCACCGTCCAGGCCGCTTCGTTTTGGTTGAGCATAGAGCCATTTCAGTCAGAAATGGGCATTCGGGGCTGTACGATGAAAGGAAAAGACGACTGGTTCGGGTAGGATTGCGGTTACCTGGCAGAACTGCGCTAACGAGACTTCCACAAGGGACTGTCAATGGGTAGAGCGAGGATGGAGCCCTTTCAGCCAGAAATGACCATTTCGGGGCTGTAGGATGAAAGGAAAAGACGACTGGTGTGGGTCAGACTGCGGTTATCTGACAGAACTGCGCTAACGAGACTTCCTCAAGTGACCGACAATGGGTGCAGGCGTCCAGGCGGCACTCAGATCATGGGGGAACTCAGGTCACATGGCTGCCGGGACACTCAGGTCGCCTGGTTGCCGGGACACTCAGGTCGCCTGGTTGCCTGGACACTCAGGTCTCCTGGCTGCCGGGACACTCAGGTCTCCTGGCTGCCGGGACACTCAAGTCACCTGACTATCGGGACACTCAGGTCTCCTGGCTGCCGGGACACTCAGGTCGCCTGGCTGCCGGGACACTCAGGTCGCCTGACTGCCGGGACACTCAGGTCGCCTGGCTGCCGGGACACTCAGGTCGCCTGGCTGCCGGGACACTCAGGTCGCCTGGCTGCCGGGACATTCAGGTCGTCTGGTTACCGGGGAGGGGGGGGGGCGGCTCGCCCCACCGTGAGCGGTTAAGGTGCTCAGAGTGGGCGGTGGGCCGCTGTCGGTACCAAGGGTGAGCGATGTCGGTATCTAGGGCGGGGCGGTGAGCAGTGTCAGTACCCAGGGCGAGTGGTGACCGGTGTCGGTACCCAGGCCGGCGACGGCAGGCCGGCTGCAGCCGCTCGGGGGAGTCCCCGAACTAGAGTCGCGCCTTCTGCGGGCACCGTCCCAGGCATCCGTGACGTCGCGCCCCGCCCGGCGGCGCGGCCGTGCAGACTCTGGTCACCCGAACCAGGGGGCTCGCATGACGTGTGTGCCCGCCTGACTCATGCCACCGGCGGAGTTCCGGGCTTCCTGCGGTGTCAGCCACGCCGGTGGCGCCTCGTCACGGCTCGGACAGCGGTGCACCGTTTCAGTGAGCTGCGATGGCTGCGATGGCTGTGATGGCGGGGTGACGTCGAGGGTAGCGTGGGTCGGGCAATACGCGGCCCTTGTGACTTGTGAGTCCAGCCTTGACAACCTTGACCATTTTGTTGCGTTGTGTTTGTTGATCCTGTCGTGTTGTCCTGTTGCGAGATATGTTGCATTGTGTGGAATCATTATAGATGTTACCTCATTTAACCGCACTGTGACCGGCTTCAATGCATTGCAAATTATATGCCTGTTGATGTTAATTACTCTAACAACCACGCCGGATATATTTCTCAACTTGGAAAGCACCAAAGGCACAGAACAAGAGGGCTGCAGTGATTACTGAATGAGTTTGCACGTTACGTAATTTTTATATCCGCATGTGCATGCAACATTCTCATGGACTGCACTCTCCGCGAAATCCAATTACTTGGTTGACACAAGACAAGCCCCGCATTGGTTCACGCGGGGTGACACTTGAAATGAGCAAAAGAGCAAGGAATTACAGCCTGGACTGATCACGGCCAATAACGTCCATGGAGAAAACAGCGCTGAATGGGCATGCCAACACGAGGGAGCTGAAGCATAGTGCATGTCAAACAAGGCCTTACCACATGCACCTTGTTACTAAGCGCTCTCTCCTCTCTCTCTCTCTCTCTCTCTCTCTCTCTCTTCTCTCTCTCTCTCTCTCTCTCTCTCTCTCTCTCTCTCTCTCTCTCTCTCTCTCTCTCTCTCTATCTCTCTTCTCTATCTCTCTCTCTCTCTCTCTCTCTCTCTCTCTCTCTATCTCTTCTCTCTCTCTCTCCTCTCTCTCTCCTCCTCTCTCTCTCTCTCTCTCTCTCTCTCTCTCTCTCTCTCTCCTCTTCTCTCTTCTCTCTCTCTCTCTCCTCTCTCTATCTCTCTCTCTCTCTCCTCTCTCTCCTTCTCTCTCTCT